AAACTGTTAGTAAGTTTGACTTTGCTATCTGTATGAACGGGAATTTTGAACGAACTCGAAAAGGCCTTTGAAATCTGTGTAGAAAGGCAAAACAGACAGCAGAAACTTTGACAGTTTTTTTATCTTAAGCTATGTAAGTATTTTTATATGAGTGTATATGGATTGTTCCCAATAATCAATTATTAGTGACATTTGATCAGCGTGGATTTAAATAATTATGGGTGACCGAAGCTTGCCCACAGGATCATTGATTCTAATGACTCATCCCTACTTTCGAGTTGGCATAGCCATCGGTTGCGGTCGTGCTCACAGTCGCCCCTGTTACGAGTCGTTAACTTAAGGGTTGTAAGTTTGTACTAACTAGGTTACTGCAAGCGAATCATTAAGCATCACCGAGCATTCTTCAAAGAGAATTCATCACAGATCATTTTGGATGGTATAAAAAGCAAATAATAAAACTAGCTCCACCGGAATTTATATATTAGAATGCCACGTTTGGCGGCACAACTAAAAGTAGCTATGAATTCATTCAAACTCTTAAAAGTCATCGTTTGTTCCTCCTGACATTATCAGCACAAAAAACTGAACCATCTTGATGTAGCAATACACACACTATTGGCGTGAATGGCTGATGTCACATGAACAATATAACATAGCTAGAAATTTAAAAGAAAGATGCAACAACAGACAGCCGTGAATTTTGTGGATTACCATGACATAAAGTTATTTAATAGTGATTATTTGAGAGGTTTTTAAATACCATTATATAAAAGAACAGTTGACCGGTAAGGTATAGGGTTATAACCCGAAATACGTCTGTAGATAATTACATAAGATTTAGACTCCCATTTGCAAATGTTGCTGATAGAGTAATGTAAAGTAAAGCAATTGCCTACATTTGTTCATGCACACCGAAAACTCTGTCATCTTCGGGACGGAAATATTGTAACATGTTTTATTAAAATACTTGAGATAAAATCATCGAAGTTTTGTCACTAATTGTGTCATACGAAATAAAATTTGATATGTTTATATCGCGTTTTATTTCAGAAATGGGTAATTTCGTAACAATTCGAAATATTTACAAAAATTATGAGTTTAGGGTGAATAAATGATTTCGCTTTTTACAGACATCTTTAGATCGTGATTTTAGAAAGCGAACTTTTATTTCAATTTTTTTCTAAAAAATAAGCGCGTGCCACCAATATTGATTAAAAAACATCAGCTCAGGATTTTCAACCGTTAGTGTGCATATTTTAATTCATAATAGTGAAGTCAAGGTATGTCAAGAAATCCTTTTTTCCCTACAGGCTTATTTGTCAGATACATGTTTCATTTTAATTTTGAACTGTAGACACCGCAGGTGAGTAGCAAATTGCTTTTCGCTGCGTTTGTTTGTTTTTTCTGCTTGGCGGGCCACTTGGTCGATCATGTCGCGCGAGACTAGGTATGTCCGCATTTCTAGTGCTAAAAACAATTTAGATCAAATGTTAAGCTTATGCGGCCTGGAATGGCTGTATTAGTACTTAGTGGAAAGTACGCTGGTCGGAAGGCTATCGTCATTAAGAGTTATGACGACGGTTCAAATGAGAAACCTTATGGACATGCACTTGTTGTTGGGATTGATCGGTATCCTCGTCGGATTTTGCGAAGAATGGGCAAAAAACGCGTAGAAAGCCGCTCAAAAATAAAGCCCTTTATTAAATTGCTAAATTACAATCACTTAATGCCGACTCGTCACACTATCGGGATCTCGTTCAACACAACGATAATCAACAAAAACTGTCTTGCCGATAAGCCGAAAAGAAGGAGGGCTCTTTTGGAGGCGAAACTCAAACTTCAGCAAAGGTGAGGCATACTTTTTACCTCTCACATTTATTAGGTATCGCTCTAATGAAAACCCTTGGCTTTTCCGCAAACTCAGGTTCTGAGTATTCTGTGGAACGCCAGTGTATCCATGTATATTTTTTAAGAACTCCTGGAACCTATTGTGCGTTTTTCGTTTTTTATTATGCGAATGGGATAGTTACCGTAGTTAAGAGGCCTCTGTTTGCCACAAGTTCCAATTTCAGACATGGCTATGCAGACTCAAATTATCGCATTGCGGTTTTGATGCAAAGCATGGTGCGCTTCAAATAACCTTTTGTGCATCATTTGATTGTTTGAATAACATCGTCTTTTCGTCGATGATGGATAATTGGCACGATTTAGTTCGTCGCTCTCTTATATAATGGGAATATTGTGCACAAATGTGATCAATACCTAAATCCCTTCCGTCCCAGCCCTCAAATTTTGGTAGGGTAGAATGTGTAAATATTTCGTTTTCGTGTTGCCTAGCCGTTATCCGATTTTGGCGTCTTGGATATTTTTGGTCTTTTGCACGATGTAGTATACAACTTAGTGGTGGTTTCGTCTCTACTTTTGATCGCCCTTTAGTGAAATGGGGTATGCACTTTGTTCAAGTGAGGCCACTTGCTACTAACCAAATATACATGCTTGTCCTTCCACAGGCGAGGTTAGGATTTCGATTTGGGTAATGATTTAAGTGGATGGTAGAGCAGCCAGGTGTTTTAACCGGTGACTGGAGACTTCGGCTGCTGGGTCAATATTATGGGGACGTATTCCGGGATTTCGTAGACTTGGAATAGCATTGTCCGCGTGACATGGCAGTGTGTGGTCGTGGTAATTTAGCTCCCACTTCGCTGTCTATCTATCCATCTGTATCGTAAGTCGTCTTCGGTTCCTTCGCAACACGTTGAAATCGCCGGGAGGCCAGGGTTCCCTCTCCATTGCGCTATGACGGTGTGACGCAGTTTATGATAGGTGGTTCCCACTCTGCGTGACCGTGATTCAAGGAATGAAAACAGATCCTCGCGGCAATATTTAGCCCTTAAAGACGATTGGCTTACTGACTACCAAAGGGTTGGAAGGCACCAGTGTCATAATGCCAAATGGGTCATGAGAAGCACGTTGCAATGGTGCTTGAGCGTGTGGTCAACAGACCTCAATTGGTAGTCCATCTGCGATGCTACCAACCTGCGTGCCGTCTTCGCATGCATATTTTAGCTCCAAAAGCCTCAGCACTTAGGGCAACTGGTTGTAATTACAACTCGGCTAGTCGAATGATTTTTTGGGTGACATTTATTAGTAAACATAATTTGCAGGCTGCGCCGATATTACACATAAAAGTGGGTGTATGGTATTTACAAAATTGGCTACACAAAGCGATTTGAAGGTTGCCAGTTAGATCCGCCTGCTCTTCACCTGAAATAAATCATAAAGAGCATGTGAAAACTAAACAGGTATCAAGTATCGACATGGCAAATTAGCTCTCTTGGGTAACTGACTTTGATTCACACCAAACGTATCACAGTGAAGTTGGTGACACTGGGCGGACGTGATTCGGTCAAGTCGTACTAGCAGATAAAACTTGGGGAACCTACAATTCGATCGAAGGCGGCGTCAAAGAGACCAGCAGCTGGCTCCAGGACCGGAATGCCCGGTACCGCCTCGCTGGCAGCGACTTCACCCGGCGAAGCCTTCCTCTTCAAGCGATGCTGTGGAAACGAAGGCATCATTTCCGGCTCGCAGGCTATTAACGATAAAAAAAACAACATTCTCAGCCAACCTTACGAAATCCGAGCAACCAAGTTAACTAATGACGCCATTTTAGGGAACTCAATGAGAGTAGGACAATCGGGCACTTCAGGTGTTCTCGAATGCCACAGATGATGCTGCTGCTTGAGGCAAAACCACTAGAACGGATGAGCTTAACCGAGGCCACCTTGTGTGATTGCGATTTTGGATGACTTCATCTGCACAATCAGATGGCTGAGCTCACGAAGTGGCTTGCCCGTAGAGGTACGGCAACTTGACGAACTTGGAAAGCACACCACATGGTATCGGACTTAATTCCATTTTACGAGTGAACGAATGTTGAGTAGGGCCTTGCGGTGTCAAGAGACTTAAGATGAGGGGAGGGGAGGGGGGTAGTGAAGGCACCTACGGAGGGGATGCTCGCGGAAGTAGGAGCTCTGGCAGCACTCCCTAGCACGAGCGCGTTTCGTCGGATCGTACATGAAGAGGAAATTGAGCAGGCGCAGTCCAGCATCCGAGAGCCACGGGAAGGTTTGGCGCAGATTGTTGTACCTTGGCAAAGAAAAACAAGCGTTTAACAACAGCTCCAAACGACCTGGTCTGTACCCCACCGAGGTCTCACTTTTCGGAGAATACTTGTTAAATTACTACCTACCACCACAGCTCGTGAAATGGACATACAGACAGGATCTCAGCTTCACTCAGCAGCAAAATCGGCTCACAAAGTTAGAAAATAGAGCATTTGTCCGAAAGCACACTTACTGTTGGGTCTTCAGCGTAATCTTCTTCAGCAGAGGCAAGGCACTCATACCCTAGAACAGTCAAAGTACATTCACTTTAACAAAACATGGGGCAATAGATAATTTGGTAAGCTGACAAGAAAAGAACCTACGGGCCAGATTCGTTCGTTTGGCGTTCCAAGCAAGTCAATTATCAACTCCAATTGATGCACTTCATTCTTCCCGGGCATCAGTGGCTTGTGCAGCAGAAGTTCACCCATTATGCAACCAGCCGACCTAGAAAAAATCATGAAAATCCCAGAAATTACCATATATCGATGGCCTTGGTTTGCATTTTATCGCCGAGCAAGACCTCAGGCGAGCGATACCTGCAAAGGCAATTGGCAGGGTGTCAGCAATTTAGTGAACCAGCTGGCTGGAGTTGACGCCACAACGACACTCAGAAACGTACCACAAGGTGACAACTTTCGGTGTCATTGGATGCTGAGAGTTGGACGGCCTTGCCAGACCAAAGTCGGCTTAATAAACAATTAGCGAGATAAGGCAATGCAAGCATACCAATCTTAACCATTCCTTTATCCGTCATGAGTAAGTTTGAAACCTTTAGATCACGATGGATAATGAAATTCTCGTGAAGGAATCGCAAGCCTTTAAACACCTGCAGCATGATTCCCTTGACCTAGAGAGTGGGCGTAAACGGAGACAAGGCAGAGATTACCTGTGCCTCGGTAAATGCATTTGGCATGTTATCTAGCAAACTCGCCAGATCCTGTTCACAATATTCCATTGAGAGGAAAATGCTAAAAATTAGAAAAAACTCGTGAAAATCTGAACGAATTTTTTTTAAAGAAAACGACGGGAGGCATAGTCAGGGCGGTTTTAGATTGCAAATTACAGTGCTTCGGAAGTTAGACTTCCGAAATTGTCAAGAACATTCCAAAATGAATTTATAAATGTATTTAGACGACCGACTTCAGAGAAATTGGCAAAGCAAGCAGTTGTGACGTTCCAAAGGGGGTTCATTTCATAAATGTGGTCAGCTTTTGATACGGCAAGATTTAAAAAGTGGATGGACAAGTCTTTTCAGGAAGTGTTTCTGCAGCTAAGACAATGTTCCAGATAACCAAACCACAATTTTGGACATCAGGAAAGGTTTTAGTTTAAGGTTACTTAAAATGACCAGAGAAAATAATTACATTGCTGCAAATGACAATAAATAAACTCTCAAAATAATAAAGATTAAAGAATTAAATGACCTTCATAACTAGAAACCTGAAAGAGACAGGTACAGGCTCCTCGTTAAATATTTATTAACAAAGTACGAACTAAGAAGCAATTCTATTTTATTTGATAAATATTTTCCTATTAGTAAAAGCATTCACTCATGTTGTACTCAGATCGTCAGATTTTAAATTTAAGTAAAGCTCGGGTTGGTTGCACGGTCGACTATACAGTTTAAATATCGGTATGAATGCAAACCATGAAATCCCGGCATTATTGTGTTACCGATTTCCTGTCGACGTTGTGTTATAAATCAGACGGCATGAATGAAATTGCGCAGCAAAAACATTTTACCTGTCAAGGCTTCGTCCAACAACAACTTCTTTCAGTTGCACGATGTTTGGATGCTTAACGCTCAATAAAAGAGTTATCTCTCGAAGACTACTAATGGGAATTCCTAAAAAAATTCAAGTGTGTATATTTGTCACCTACCGTCTCTTTCATTTTCCATCCGAACTTTTTTCAATGCGACAATCTCACCGGTAACGGAATCACGTGCTCTATCTTCAAAGCTTGAGGAAAACACAAAACTTACAAACTATCCCATATGTTCCCTCACCAATTCTATTAAGCTTTTCAAAATCTGAAACACTTCTGCAACGACCCTCCTAGAAACGCAAATAATGACAATGTCAAGGGCATACTCTAAACTGCGTTGGTATCCTAAATGGAATAAGCTTTTTGACGCCAAAAAGTTTGAGTTCGTCAACAGCCGTATCCATGGCCTCAGAAGAAATATTCACGGCCAGTCTAATTAGATTTGGGCACAAAACTGTCGGGCTAACGTAAACTTACAATGCCATGGCATCATCATCAACATTACAAGTGTCGCATTTATTAATTAAATTACTGAATTAATAGATTTAGATTCTTAGAGTCGATCTGAAAAAAGTTTTGCAATATCAATTAAATTGTCATTGGTAAGTTAAATGTTTACCACTTCAAAAACCAAGATCTTAATTCTTTAGATATAACAGTAACTTAGTTCATGTAATCGCGAAAAAGAAATGCGCTGTGACGCTGTTTTTCATTCTTTAGAAAATTGAATTTCGTATTTATTCAAAAGTCAAATTGTCTACATTTATATAAAGAGATCTGAACACCCACTTTTTCTTCTTGAAAATCTCACTAGCACCAGTAATTTCTTTCTAATGCGAGCACGTTTTTGTGTTTAATGCACTTACTCACGATTGATTGAAAGTTATTTGCTTGCATAATTTTAATTTAGCTCACTTTCACCCTATTACGAATGATGTCAATTTATCGAACCCTATCTTACATCCATGCATGTGTTATCTCTGCTGTAAAAAGATGTTTTTGCGCATTATGAGACTAGAAAATTGTTGCCCCTATCCTCAACTTACTCGTCAAACCATTAGCTTGGTTAAAAGGTGCCGATTTCAATTTCTTGAAACACTAACAAGATGAGGACCTAAAATTTCAAACTTTTAATTTGAAAACATGACTTTTCTATCTGATGACAATATACCTTCATCGATTATCATTTAATAGGATAAATCTTAGATGTAATTTTTGTATAAATTATAGCATAGAGCCATATATTGTGGGATAATCAAATTGGGGCAAACTGTTAAGGCCAGAGTAAAAACAAACCTGACTGACTCCGTCAACAATGTGAATGCTTTGTCTCATTTCCACAATAAAATGAATTTTAAAACAGTGTGAAATTGACGCCACTCAACATTGCGTAGTTTTAATAAGCGTTTACAAATACTACTACTGAAAACTGTTCGTAACTAGTATTTGAGATTCTTGCTTATGGAATTATGATCGCTTCGACAAAAACTGCCCTTATTTTTATTTCCTTTTTGCTGATTTGACAAATTTACTTCGATTGGTCGAAATGCAAATGCAAATGCAAATGCTTAAGATATTAAAAGACTCGCTCTGTAATGACAGCTTTTGCGGAAGGTTTGTTTCAATGTCCTCAAATTTTCTAACCTGTTATTTTCCTTCAGCTAGGAATAACTGCCAAATTGTTCAAAGCCTAGGGCATATACAGATTCTACAATCAATTCCTGAAAAATCACCATCTCATCTTCAAACCCTAAACCACTTATCCTCAACAAAGCTCTCTTTGTCTTGACCGTTCTTCCCATCTCTAACGACCTGTAATTCAACATTACTTGACAGCATGGTCGGCGATGGTAAAATTGTGGTAAATTTCAGGAGCCACAGCGGCCGCCAGTGCTGACGTCCAATTTTGATTAGTTGACATAGAAAATCCGGCGTTAGAATAAACAGTCCTTGATTGCGCGACGTCACGGGGCCCAAACGGAGGTTTGCATAAACAATGAGGGCTAGAAAACGCACCACGAGATGCTGACTGGTGTCTGCATCTGTTCCTTGAACTGCCCAGTCAATTGGCGATTTGACGCCCTTCTTTGTGGATATTTTAAACGAGGTTATTTGGTAGGTATTCCAGGTTGGAGAGGTCTGTCTCATTAGCATTTTTCGTGCTAAATTCAGTCAATTTCTGTCGTGAGGGTGCGATCGATAACCTTGTGTCATCGCACAAAGTTTGAATGCCAGAACCAGTGGAAAAAAAATCAATAGTTAATAAGCGCCAATCATCAACGCGGGCAGAGAGGCCCGGATTTTTGGCGGGGCAATCAAATTCCACCACGAATCAGCGTGCCTGAAAAAAACAGCACAAACAATCCACTGCACAACACTGCAGACCGTGCTACAGAAGTATGTAATGCTGCTAAAACCACAGGACAATACCTGTCAGACCTCTGAACCAGACTAAACAGATACAAGATCATCGATTGTGCAGGAAATGACCGCGAAGAGATATAAGCATTAATCTAATAATCAGCTTCACGGACACAAGTCGGGAACTGTGTTTACCACCTGACTGATTATGCAGACAGGCTTGAACATTCATCCGTTCGCACACTTCCTCCACACACACACACATCTAAGACTCCTTGCGAATCAAACGAAGCGGAAGCGTGGTGGTGTATCAACGAAGGCATCTCAATTGATGTTTGTCAGCCAGGATTTGTGCAAGGGTGATTAATGCAAACACCACCCGTCCTCGTGCCTGTCTACTGGCTCTGACGCGCCGTTAATCCTCGAAGCTCGCGTACACATGTAGTGCCCTGAAGGTGTAGACGGACGTCTTGTCGCTACTTGTCCTTAACAATAAACAATTTACAA